ATGTGAAACTCACATGTGTACTTTAGTCTGGTTGTATTAATGCAAAATACTTGAAGAGAAAAATCTCTCACCGACTATAACTATTTTTGCATTTTGAGCAGAAATTTTTTCTATTTTTTCATTTGCCTTTTGGTATTGGCTTGTTGTTCTTCATTTTGTGTTTCATTTTTCTTAATTTCACATTATTGTTATTTCAAACATTAATCTAACTAACAAATAAATCTGTTGTACATGTTCATTATATCTACAGCAAGTCTCAACACAATATTATACATCTCAAGTCAGAAACTTGACTATTTAGAACATTCATAAACGTATGTCAGCCATATAATTTCAATGAAGATTTTGAAGTCTGATAGCTGTTGTCCTAAATGTGCTAAGATCTGTAATGGGTGGGGGACAGTCGAAAAACTTCGATTTAACAATTAAATTCACTATTTTCTTGGAAAATATGTGTGTGAGTTCCACAAAATGATACTACATCATAGCAGTGTCATAAACTATTCCCATAGTTGACTTTACGCCAATTTTATTAGATTAATGCCAGGGGTAAAGAACTAAATAACTGTTGTTTTTTATTACTTTATTTTGACCGCATAAAGTTCCATCAGCTGGTTGATTTGTCATGGATGATAGACATATAGATCGACCTTCATGCATTTTTGTACACATCATTTGATTACATACATCCTTATTCAATTAAAATAAATTCTTAAGAAATTCGAAAATAAATTTTCATACCATAGGTGGTTCATCACCAAGAAAACAATAAGTTGAATGAGGTCCCATATGAAGACGACATTGTTCATCAAGATCAAATATAATACCAGGTAATATGTCATCAAATGGTTGAATTATTGTTGGTTTGTTATTAAGACATTTTGCCCAACCTTGACTAAATTATATCATGAAGAATTTATTTAAATATATTTTCTCTCTCGTTTTAAATTTACTCAAAAAAATCCATTAGATTATCTCGACTACATTGTGACCACATATTTATTGGTACTCTAGAATAACTTGGTACCATTATTGTATCACTATTTGATAATCCGGAATTCGATCTACAATGACCTTTATCACCATCATGACTCATTCCAAGACTAAAAATAACCGTTAAAATATTTACCTATATATAAATATATTGAAAGAAAAAACTAATCTTACTTATGTCCTATTTCATGTGCAATAGTAAAAGCTGAAATAAGGCCAACATCTTGATTAATATTACAACTTCGATTAACCATACACATGCCAGCCATATTAGCAAGACCAATTGTTGAACAACTTGAATTTTGACGGCATAATGATTTTCTAAAATGTTTAATAAACACAAGAAGAAAAAACTCAATATGTATATAGAAATTATGATTAAATTAATTTGATTATAATTATTATATTGAATGTCCAGAAAGTCATTAGCCAAAGCAAAATTTGAATATCTCAATCATGCTTTGACCAAATGAGCTGATTTTTTGTACTGCTGATAGACAGCTATTCCTAGTTTATATTCTTAAGAATAACGTTGACAGATACTGTTTCGAAATATAGCATTCGTAATCAATAAAAAGAAATGACCCTTTTAAGAGTTTCAAAAAACATTACTTACGTGTACAAGAAGTTTAAGTTGTAAGATATCTTATTTTATCTAACACGAATTTAACCAGGAATATGTTTCTATAATTTAAAAAGAATCACTCTATTTTGACTGAACTATGCGATACTTATTCAAATTTATTCTTCGCAGTAACTTTTAAAAAAACATGTTAAGTAGAATTTTTTCAGAACTTGCATAAGATAATATTTCTTTATTGGAGTCATTAGTGATACTCTGAAGCAGTATCTGCCCACGTTATTCTTACGAATATGGACTAGGAATAGTTCTCTATCAGCAGTAAAAAAAATCAGCTTATTTGGTCAAAGCATGATTGAGATATTCAAATTTTTCTTTTGCTAATGACTTTCTGGACACCCTATATAATTAGAAAATATTCAAAGAATGCATTGAATTTCATATAACCTTGTAAGAAAAACACCAACATCATGATGAATGGTTCGATTTTTTTTATTTGTTTTCTTAATTTGTTCTTGCCATTCACAAAACTTATGTAATGTTTCATGCGATATTGATGCCATTTGAAAATCCGACTATAAATATATGATATAAAAATGAACATAACGTCAAATTTCTTTTTCCTACTTCATTACTAAGCATAATTATTTTTGTAAGAACAATTTCAACAGGATAACCAAGACTAACATGTGCATATATACTATGGACCATATTCATCATAGTAAGTAAATATAATTCAGTAATATGAGAATGAGAAAAGAATTCAGATACACTTGCATCAGCAACAAGTAAAGTTTCAACAAAACGTTCACGAATAACAGAACGACGTATCCGATTATGTTTATATATTTGATTTGTTGTGTTTGATGAATTCATTTGACATGACCAAATATGACTTTGATTTGATGGAGATTTTTGTTGATACGTAAGAATATATGATTGTTCATCTTCGTTCATAATTGGTTCTAGAAAATAATCAATTCCATGTTGAGTATGATGAATTAGACCAGACTAGAATTTTTTTTTAAATAAATTTAAAATAATAAAAATATTGTAAACTTACCAAATTAGAACAAATTGAAATAGCAACCATTGAATTTAATTCTCCCCAGTGTCGTACTGTTCCTGTATAGAATAAACAATTTGTTATTTTACTCTTAATTTGATTATTATCGTATTCAATAGGAACATGTGAATTAAAATTTTCATTTAATTTAAGATCAAGAATAAATGATGTTAAATTTTCATATGAACTTTGACGATAAACCATATATGATCTATATTTATTTCTGTATTTCAATTGTCCATCATCGATTGGTATAATTTTTACTTGTTCAACAATCCAATCTTTACTGATCAATGGTAATTCTTAAACAAAAATTAATTGATCATTTATTTCATTCAATGTAATAGAAAAAAAACAAAAGCACTTTTGGTTTTATCTACCTGATGATCGAAATAATGAAGATATACTTCCACTTGTTGACCATATAAAAAACAAGAAAAAAACCATATACAACATGTTCGTTTTTTTTTTGCACTCACATCTATGTCTGTCTATTGAACTTATGAGCAAAGCAAATCATACATATATTCTCCGGAGTAACGCGTGACTAGATTTTTTTTGTTTTAATCATATTTATTCATTATTATAATACATATGAACAAATAAAAAACTAGTGCTATTATACACATGTAGTATTAATTGTAATCGGAATTTATGATGGCATTATATATCGTCGTAATTCTAATGTAAAATGATCTATATGCATGGATGCATGTTATAGAATGATTATATAATGATAATTCACTTTTTCGCAAATAAATTATTTCAGACTAATTGATTATCGGGTTATATTTCAAAAGAGAAAGACAATACAATTAATAAAGAATTAGTAAATGATTTACATGTCATTTTAATAAAAACTTTCAATCGATAGTATTGCTAAATAATCAGTGAATAGAAATGTTGAGAAAAAAAGACTAACAAAGTAATTTACAGAAATTTTTTTCTTATTCATAAGTGTTTTTAGTTTTGATGCTTTGTCAACACAAAAATCAATGAGTTTAGTATATTAAAATTAATTATAGATCACTAAAGAAGTCGTATTAATTAATTATACTGGATTAATATTATTTGATGTATAGGATATCGTTTTTACTCAATAATCTAAATAAATCAAATATGAATACATAAAACTGATATAGAATTCATTTTCCAATGATTAGAACAAAATATGTCATAAATAACCTCATAGGAAAAATTATTTTACATACTACAATAGTATTTAATAAGACAAATGATATACAACTTTCACAAGAAATATGAAACGGTTTCGTAGGAAAATCTACTAAACTAAAATCGTTTTAATCATTGTATGATGGCGACAATAATTGGTAAAACACTTCTTTTTCTTTCGATTTACATCGTAATGTCCATCACGGTTGACTAACTATATTGTTCGGTATGTATTTAATAAGGTACTGTGTTCAAACATCGATACTATTAGCCATGAGATGACCCTGAACAAGTCACTAATAGTTATTTGCCTTGGGTCACGAGTTCGATGGCACACTGACTCAGCTGTGGCATAAAGCTCTCCTTGTGGCTAGTATGCAATTATTCTGTATATGTGTGAGAAACACAAGAAATCGACGTCTGATCGGCATTCTGTCTAGAGCTATAGCTATTATTATTTATAAGAAACATATCGGGTCATTGAATCTGTCGCCGGGCAGCACCCTATACTACAAAACAAGCCACCCTCTCCAGAATAAATTATATCTAGAAAATCAAGAGTTTTTAAAACAACTATATAATCATTAAGTAAAATAACACTTTTTTATTAGAAAAAAATGCTTTTTACTCGAAATCTAAGTTTTCGGGTGCTAAAATCCGAAAATGACTGGATTTCCGAAAAACGATTTTGAAAAACCCATACGCTTCTATTTTGAAGAAGGGTTCAACAGAACGTAAGTGTATTTTCTTCATCTCGATAATAAATATAAAACAATTCAAAGGTCAATGAATGACGTTCAAATAAAACAAGCAAAATTTGCATGACTTATGAGAAACATTATTAATAACATACAAACACATGCTTCATTGTTCTGGATGTCAAAATCCTAAACTTCAATCATTATAAGGATTTTTCAAAAATTGCAAAAAGAAATGAATCAATATCTTCGTTAATAAAAACAAATTTTAATTCTTGGCTTTTTTATAAATTACTTGATATGATGACATATGTATATATATATATTTATTAATTGGAAGAAAATCTTTAAAAGATTAACAAAAAAAAATCAATAGTATTTATAAATTGAACATCAATGCAAACAATCAAGTCGTGCCTATATCACCCATTGCCACTGCTGGTTCTTGTAGAATATTGTAATTAAATAAATCAATTGATGTACATAATTACTAGCGAAGTATAACTCCTAAAACAATACCGAAAATTGAACCTGCTATTAGAACTCCCAAAATAGCTACACCAATTATTATCCATTTTCGAGGCAATAAATCTTCTCTATAAAATAAATAAATAATCTTAAAAATGAAGCAAAATTTAATGATATAACATATATGTACAAAGGTTTTTTGCTGTGAATTTTTATATGTTACTTACTGAGGTTCTTTATTTTTAATAGTTGATGATTGGTTATTTTTAGAAGCTGATGGTTGTTTAACAACTTTTTTTGATGTTTCTTTAATTTTTTGTTCTTTTATACTAGGTATACTGCTCAACCAACTATCAACTGACTAAAAATCAAGAGATTTTTATTGAATATATTGTTTTATGTTTTATTTTTTGTGTATCAATATACTGACTGATAGAATTCGAGTATCAACACGTTCATCTAATGGAAGTGGACGTACTTCGGGTCTACTAACACGTATAATACGAACATGACGAGAATGTTTTGAAATTTTGGATGCTTTCATTGTATGTTTTTTTTCTTATTAAACTTTATGGGGATGACAAAAAATTGTTCTTCTTTTTAATCATTAAAGTTTTTTTATGTTTTATTTTTTTGAAATAACGAAACGTAAAGGTTTCATTTCGTCTTATAATTAAATCGCATGCAATGTCTTATTCATACGTTCTATTGATTATACTGTAAGAAAACAACAAAGCAACTATTTACTTCCATCTGACTCTCTACCTCTTTTTTTTTTATTTATATTTTATTGTTTGAAGTATTTCTTGTCTTTTTCTTTTCTCTTCGATTAAGACGAGAAATCACGCTCGAAAAGGAACATATAAGTTAGTCGTTTCCAGCAAAAGTGACGAATCGAATATCGTCTTATACAAAGTCTCTAACGCAAAGTTTGTCGAAAGAACATTGATTGTTCTAGTAAAAATTTGCATTAGAAAAAGAGATTCAGAGAGAGAAGAAACATGTATTATAATTAGAATAATGTTCATATATTGATAGGTTTCTTTTCTTTTTCTATTTTTATTCATCGAAGAAACGCTGTATTCGGAACAAATGGCGTTCCATAATAACTGAGGATAAATTGTTAAAGATCTTTTTCATACTTTTTCTTGATGTAGAGGGCTGAGATTTTCATCGCATGTATATCTAATGAAGAACTTTTTATTTCTGAAAGTTTTGGTTCTCTAGCTAAAGCTATCGGTGAAATGCGTCGACAAGATTGAAATATATAAATTTTCGTACTGAATATTGCTGAGTAGTTCCGTGGGTAGTCAACCAAAAAAACCACAAAGTATTCAGAAATTTTTCTTTCATGTCAAACTTTGTAGATCATTTTTCACTGATCATTTTGGTAAAAAGAACTTTTCGAATTTCATTGAGAAATGACAATGTTATAGTCAAAATATTTATTGTAAAAACAGAAGACATCAGAATTTTTTTGATAGAAATATCGTACACAATGTTTAATCGAGATTTATTCATCCTATTCGCCTGTATCTAAGAAACCGACTGTAGGGTTTTATAGAGCAAAGTTTTCTCTACAAAACCTAGTATGTCACATTTCTTCAGAATATATCCATTTTGAGATATGTGAATCGACTTTTGCTTACATTTTACAGTGTTTAGTATTTTGTCTATAAGATCGTCATTTTTCAATGAAATTCGAATTTCTTTTACCAAAACGATCAGCAAAAAACACTCTACAAAGTTTGATTTTTGGAATATTTGGTAAATTGACCTGTTTGAATACAAATTTGTGTTACAAGAATGTGTCAAAAATTGAAACAAGTTTGGTGAAACAATACAAAGAGATTTTCGAAAAAAATTAATCGAAACTCAAAATAAACAATCATTTTCAATATTTTGATTATGTCGCTTTTTTTATATTCATAGTAACGATATTTCGTATAGCAAAACCTGGGCAAAAACCATTAGTAGAATGGGAGAAACATGAGTTTCAATTTAGTCGAAATATTTTTCAATCACTTATTACAATAGAATCAATCAAAATAGGATTTAATTTAATCAGTTTACATTCAAATTTTTTATTTTTTAAAATGATGAGAATCAAAATCACGATTATAATAAATAATGTCGAACGAAAAATACAAAGAAGAGAAACGGATATATCAATCATATAAGATATTCTCCTTATATACAAAAATTGTTTTGTTTTTCATAATTAAAGTATATCAGCATAGAACGTAGTATAATAATAGCCATCTGTTCCTGTTAATAACATTTGAAATGATATAGTATAAGTTGATCCGGGTGTACTTGTAAAATATTGACCCAAAAAATCAATACCAGGACCAAGGCAACTATCTGAGAAACAATTACCAACTCCTGAATAACAATCTGTACCAGATATTAATTGTCCACTTGTACCATAATGACAATGAGATGAACACCATTGTGTCCAACCAGATATTGATGTATTTGAATCTTCAAAATTTGCATTGTTAAGTAATTGAACAGAAGGAGCAGCATTATCAACAACTGATACTTCATCCATAAGCCACGTTCGATTAATAGCTGCTTTAAATCCAAATATAAGAATATGTTCTGATTTTGTTGCTGTATATGTATTAGAATATGAAGTCCAAGAAGATGAAGCATAGCCACTTAGTAATCCTAGATTGCCATGACCATGACTTGAGCATCTAGTTGCTATTCATCAATTGATAATTTCTAGAAAAGTTATTAAAACTAAGAATGAACACTCACTAGTTTCTGTTGTAGTTGTCGTTGTTGTATCAGTCGTGGTACTAGTAGTTGAAGTTGTTGAAGTAGTTTCTGATGTAGTTGACGATGTACTTGTTGTGGTATCTGTAGTTAAAGTTGTTGAAGTAGTTTCTGATGTAGTTGATGATGTACTTGTGGTGGTACTTATTGTTGAAGTTGTTGAAGTAGTTGATGATGTAGTTGATGATGTAAATGTGGTGATACTTGTAGTTTCTGTACTACTTGTAGTACTTGTACTAATCGTTGTAATACTTGTAGTGGTTGAAATAGTCGAAGTGGCTAGAACCATAAGATTATTAATTTTTGATATACAATATATAAAAGTAATAAAGAGTTCAAATGAAGTTTGTCATAAAATAAACATTTCATTGCATAGATAAATTACTTTTAGAAAATTTTAATTATCAAAATGTAACTAATATTTTGCTTCTTTTATTGTTACGGTTTCAATGCTTTTGAACAATTGTCGAAAAAAAACAACTCAATTTCAAAAATCATTCAAAACAATTTTTTTCAACCAAAATTGACTACTTCATATTTGTATAGATTCAGTTTCACTATGACTATGAGATTTTCTGTAAACATAACAAAAATACTGACAAAGGAGTCGTTTCGATTAAGAAATAGTATTCTTTGTTGAACTCTATGCATAAGGTAGACTCCTGTGAGATACGAAAAGCCTCGAAAGGCTTGAATGATGATATTTGGATCTAAAAGTTTGCCTACAGATAGATCTAGTTGTGATTATAATGTCTTATTCGCGAAATATTGAATGTCTAAAAAAAATTTGATACTTTGCAAGATTTCATGGTATATGAGTGATCTTTAGAAATTCAATATTTTTCGAAGGGAACATTCTTTTGAGTTCAAGTTTTCAAGACATTCTAGCCACAACTAGACCTAACTGTGGTATCATTGTCTGAACACTTCAAATAAGAAAATTATTTAAAATATATCAAGACTAAATTGATGGAATTGTAATAGTTGACAAAAATATGCTTAATGACATATGACAAGAATGTCTTGTAATAGTAAAATAATACCAAATGATCTGATAAAAATTTACATTAAATGAGTCTCAATTCTTTATTGTAGAATTAATTTCGCAAATAATTTACCATGAATAAAGCTTTAGAAATCATTTCTTTAGATGTATTTTCTTATTTATAGAATTAGCTTTCTACCTAGACTCGCCCTATATACGTATATATAGATATTACTATGCTGATAGTTTTATCTAAATGCAAATATCGACTTACTTGTAGTAATGAGAATTGTTGTCAAAGTAGTCGATTTTGATCGTGCTATAGTTTTAGTAATAATAATTTTATATAATGAACAAAGTTAATAATTACATACGTAATGTAACAGCAAGAACAATGCCAGAGATCCCAGCCAGAATTGCAGCTATAATACCGGCTATCAACAAAATCAAACAGATTCGACGAGGTGGGATTAATCTAATTGAATAGGCAAAATTAAACAAACGAAAAACTTCTTTTTATATCTATAGAAGTAATAAAATGAAATATCAATTGGAAATTTTGAAAGAAAAGAAAAAAATCGAGTTTTTCATAGGAATTTTTCTATTGTTTAAATGAATCGTACTTCAACGGTATGTCAAAGCTATCCTCTAGAGCTTCTTAGCTATTTCAAGTCTACTATCAACTTGTGTCACGAGCATATTAGTTTGAATCCATTTTATATAAATATCTCTGGCAATAGTGCCCAAATGTTCTATCGTACTTCAAGATTTGAGTATCACTGCAGTACAATTAAGCATTTGGTCTTTATTGCCAAGCAGACTTATTTAGAAATGAACTCAAACTAATGTGCGCTTGTGACACATGTTGATAGTAGATTTGAAATACTTGATAAGTTTGGGTACCGGAATTTTTGATCTCGGGTTAAATTGACCACATTAATTCTTATAAAAAGTCTTATTTCTTTAATTAGCTGCTACATTCTGTAGTGCTGAACAATACTTCTTTCTTAATGGAAATGCATACTACTTGGTACTACGAAATGGAGTCACTAATTAAAAAGATAAGTCTTCTTTATGAGAGTTAATGCGATCAATTTAAGTCCGAGCCGAAATTTCAGCTTTCCAGAAGATTCTCGAGGATAGCTTGAGTATATCTGTGAAGTGCGTTGAATTATGGAGTTCTCTTTTTTATTGTCCCCTTGACGTGAACACATCCTGTTTTTATTTAACAAACACTGTTCATATCCTTTCTTCTTTCTAGACTGCTTATTTAAGGTGTGATTTCTGAATAAATACCTATCAAAAATATATAGAAAATACTGAAAAAAGAAACAAACGGGGAAGACAATTTTCAATTTTTATACAACTGAAAAAAACTACTGTAGTAGATTGAACAAAGAAGGAAGAAAAATTAACTTTTGATGATTGTGAAAGAATGATTGATAAAATTTCTATAATACTTGACGAAATAATAATAAGTAGTAGAGAACAAAAACATGATAGTTAACGGATATTTTTTTTTGTATAAAGAATATCCCATAAGCTCTTGGTCTCAACAAAAATTAGTTTATATGTATATATTAAGAATAGTGATATAAATAGAAGAAATATAATAATTAATGTGTGAGTGCAGTGGATAGCCACATCCATATCCTAAATACAATGTATCGCTTTGTATAATTATGTTACGTTACATACAATGAATTGATAGTTGATTAAAACTTTTTAATAAAATATTGGTCAATTTCGAAATTTTAATTACCATGTTTCTTCTCTTCATATCACTATTATTAATAGAGATAATGTCATTTAAAACATCGTTCTAAGTACTCAAACCTCACATCAAAACTGTTAGCTAGAGATCGCTCATTGTTTACATATCAACCAATTTTCGTCGAGGTTCTAAACTTTTAGGACATCCTTTAATCAAATTACTATTTGGATCAGTCAAATATAATTTTTGTTTATTTTTCTTAATGCAAAAAAAAAATCTTGTTGATCGATTTTGAGAGATTAAACATTCTATTCTTCTATTCGTATTATTACTTTTACAAGAGAAGATGTCATCTTATATTATATCATTTGAACACTAACATGAATATCCTTCAAACTCATTTACATGATGCATTCAATTAGAGATTATCCTCTTAATGTATATAAATTAATTTTTATAACAACTTTAAGGTTAACTTTTTCCTTTATAGAGTATTTCTTATCAAATATTTTATTCGATTTACATTGCATTTAATCATACTTCACACTATAGATCTTTCTGAAAGTTAACATTTTATTTACCTTTTAGATGCAGTATGCATTCTTGTTGGTCTATTAACATCATTCAATGCATTTCCAATTTCTGGTAATGATAATGGGGTTTGTGCGCAACTTCTGTAGCTGAATGCTGACTAGAAGATATAATCGACATTAATATTTTATATTAATTTTCTTTTAAAAATAAACTAACCGGTGTTTTTCGGGATACATTATCTTCAAGATTTTGAAGTTTATGAATGCTCACCCGTCTAACATCAGCTTGGTAGGGACCCAACGAAATATGAGATAGTTGCATATTCAATTTATATATTGTTTTATTACCAATTGAGTAATATAACTAGCAAACAAATTCAGAATCAGTTCTTTGTCATTACTCTGTAATAAAAGGTTTCGATCCTTCTGAAAAAAGAAATCAATAGAAATAGAAATGTTGATACTTTGTTTAAGTATCTCTTCGTTTTTTTTTTGTTTTGGATGAATCGATGAAAAACAAGAGAAGTTTAGTAGAAACAGAAGAGAAAAAAAGGTGTGACATTCTTGGCATTACAAGAAGTACTTGACGTAGAAATAAATGCGCAAAAAGAATTTAAAGGTTTCTTTTCTATTAATTCTATATATCAATAGCATTATAATCAAACATATAATCGAAAAGACATTGATGCTACTAGCAAACTGATCTATCATATTTTTATGTTAAAGAATTGTTTGTATGACAATGATATAATTCATGAATTAATTTATCAACTGAAAAGTGAAAGACCAATTTTTCTGTTATTAAAGGAAAAATATGATATGTACTTTCTAAATGAAACAAAAAGGATTGATACGAATGTCCATGTAAAAAAAAGGCGTATGGATATTTTTTGAATAACTTTTGATAGAAACAAGATAGAACGCTGTAGTTTTCGTCGTTGGAAAGAGGAAGTGAAATCGCATTGAATCATATAAAATACAGGTTCTCCTAAAATGTTTTCTGAAGTTTTCGTGAATCAAATGTATAAAAAAATAAGTGTGAGAAAAATGGTTCTTTTTAACATAGGAAAAGAGCTATGAATGTGAATTTCTTCATAGCAATTGATTAAAAAAATTGGACTGAGAATTTTGACTAGAATACCGAAAACTCCTGAGTATCTAAATCTAAAAATTCAAGACTTTTATAGTGTTTCCATTGGTGGTTCGCATGCACACTTGGTATTTAAAAACTAACTATGGTCACTTCACAGAAGACGTTAGTTTTCAAAAGGATCGATTGAAAACTTGTAATATACAATTCGATATGTCTCTATATTCTCTTTCTAGAAGTGAGAAAATCGTAGCTTTCTATCTCATTTCTATCAAAAGTTATGAAAAAAATTCCCTTCCGTCCTCCCATTTTTCTTTTGAAATGAACGTTAATGATAAAGAAAGTATTACTACTTTGACATGAATTCGTTAATCGGCTCATATGAAATCTATTTTATCAATTTTGTTTTTACATATTGAATACGTATGGTCATGATTTAATAAAAGAAGCCTCAACATTATTATGATTGATTCTAAAGATTTAATGAAAATACATAAAGAGAACATCTAGTCATTAAATGGGACACTTGTTTGTTTGTTTTTTGATTGTAGTTCAATTGTGCAGAATTAGTCGATTTCAACACAAGATACATTCAAAACTAAGTCTCCTTTTACGAATATAGAGGTTGAAGCAAAGTTCAACTTTGCTTCTTTTGTGACTTACTTCTTTTTATTTATAAGAAGTGCAAATCATGAAGTGATCAGCATTAATATTAATAATAGAGGTAAGCAATACACAAATGAAGCTCACACAAAGAATACGATTATAACTGTACAGAAAATATAAATAAAAGATAGAATAATAATTAGTTGAAAGATCAATCACGATTATTATTTTATGAATGATACAAAAACTTTTTTTTCTATATATTCAATAAATAAATAATCGAATGAATTTTTCTCTTCTAACAAAAATTTTGATTAGAATAGAGAAGCTGAAATCAAGTACATATAGGAGCAGACAGAAATAAAATATAAATAAAGAAGTAGGCATGCAGCGAACCCGAACTATATATAGTTCGGGGTTCGGACCAAACGGTTCGGGTTCGGTCCCAGAGTTCGGGTTCGGATTCGTATGATCAAAGGTTAACCTGTTCGTAATTCAATAAAAAAAAAAAAAAGGTAACATTTTATATATATATATCTTATTCAACACACTGCACACACTCTCAAAGTAGTGAAAGAAGGAGGGACACGACTGAAGATTTTATTGATCTATATCATATGTATATAACGGAAAACAACATGTCAAAACTGAATTGAATCGATTTTTCATCTTTTTACATAAAACCATTGTTCACAACACAAAAATAATTCTCTGTGACGCAAAATATTATGGATAACATCTTAGCTCCAAATAAGTTTTTGCGAAAGATAAAAGAATTCTTGGGTGACTAATACGATAACTGTCTAATTATATCAGCCCATAGAAGAGTCCCTCTATCCAGTGTAATAGATTCATTGAATGATCAGAGTAGCATATCTGCTATAGCGAATCAGACAAAGGAACTCATGATTCACAAAGCATGATGATTTAATGAGAAACATCCTCGATACTTCAGCAGTTAAATCTGTACATTAAGCTTTTACTATTTTTTATCTATATAACATATATCATTTTCAAGCGAGCTTGATAAAATAAAGTTCGATGCTATATTAATACATACATTATCTTTAATGGAAACGACAAATACCGACTCTTGTCTTTATTTTCTTGGTAAGATAGTTCTATAACAGTGGCATTAGAGCAGTAAAACAATTGTCAAAACTTTTGACACAAATCACTTACAGATCCCTATGAAAAAAATCAAGTCAATTTAAATAAAAATTTTTTTTAGTTTAGGAATCGGTTACAATTAAAGGAACAGCGGAATATGGGCGATAAACTGTAAAAATTTCGTGTGTAATAGAAAAATATTTGTTATGGCCAAACCGATGAACTAATGTCCGCACCAGAATGAAAGAGGGGTGGGTGTAAGCGAAATAACTCGATAACGGCAGCAGTTAGCGACCTGCTGTTTTCATCAAATGAAAGAGGAGAAGTTGGGACATCTTTTTCTCCGATCAAGTATAAGACGAAATCCTATTAAAACTAATCATCTTCGAAAAACATGCAAAAGAAGGTATGCAAACGACCTGCCATCTAGATGAAATTTCGAATTTGACCTTCGATTTAGATAGAGAGACTTGAGATCTATAATTCGAGATACAATGCGCTTTCTTACTTTTCATTACATTTTCATCGAAATGTCAAGGTATTATGACAAAACGTTGGAAAACTTCGTAAAAAAATCAGTAAAATTCCCTATTATTTTTGCATGCAAATACAGGATTCCATTTTCTCAATGTTAGAATGTAAGAAGATAACCATTTGCATTGCATCTTAAACTATAGAACTCAAGTCCCTCTATCTAAATTGAAGGTCAAATTCGAAATTTCATCTAGATGGCAGGTCATTTGCATACCTTCTTTTGCATGTTTTTCGAAGACGACTAGTTTTAAAAGGATTTCGTCTTATACTTTATCGGAGAAAAAGACGTCCCAACTTCTCCTCTTTCAATTGATGAAAATCGCAGATCGCTAGCTGCTGCCGTTACCGAGTTACTTCGCTTACACCCATTCCTCTTTCATTCTGGCGCGGACATTAGTTGATATATATTACCGAACCCGAACCCGAACCAAACCCGAACTCTGAGACCGAACCCCAACCCGAATCCGAACTCTCGGGCTGAGCCCGAACCGAATCCGAACTCACAGAACCCGAACGTTCGGGTTCGATGCATGCCTATAAAGAAGGCAAGAAAAAAAATTACTACGAGAAACAAACAACTACAGAATTCTTAGATTCTTTTTTAAAAAGGAAACAAAAATAAATCAGATATGTATACGTACATGATTTTAATCATTGTTACAGCATATAAAGAAAGTCAAATAAAGAAAGACTAATCAATATATTTTAGTGACACAAACAAACTTACAATGAATATTAATTATTTTGTTATATTTATAAGAACAACATTTATCAATATTGTTTTGATGTATCATTAATAGTTTTAATAATGAATTTCTATATTTAATACTGTTGAAGATGGCCATAGCAGATTCATGTATCGATACGTTTACCGTTTGACGAATATATTCGATCGTCTATTTCGTTCTGCAATGCGTAGTTGGTTTTTTTCTCGCCCGTCACCAACAATAGATATCTGTCCTTTCATGAGTACAATGAAGTGAAAACGAGAGTTACTTTGGCTTGCATATTGGCTTATCCTTGTTGATGCTTGTTTTTATAGAAGTTTCGGAAAAATAGACCTCGAAATTTTAGATTTATGTTATGACCTATAAGATCATAGTTCCTGTGGGAAAAAACTCTGAAATCTCCTCTATCATGAAAAAAAAACATTAGTCTCATATAGAGTGGAAATATTCCAATTTTTTATTGTAAACCTACTGATGTATAGATAAAAAGCAATGCAGTCAAACTTTGTAACATTATGATAAATATATTTCTCAGTATCATGTTGCTAGATCTACGTTTTAATTAATTTATGCGAAAATATTTGATAAACTATGTTCAATTGTCAAAACAAAGGTTCATGACGAGAAAAATACAGCCTCAAATCAATTGAGAAAACTTTCACATTATAAATTTCTTTTTTTATTCACATATGATCACGTTCTTGTGTCTGAAGATTTCTATCACAAAAGATGGGCTAAACAATAACTTATGAAAAGAAATACTTTTTAAGTTGCCTTCTACTATATCAATTACTCGTTAACTATTTATATAATTTTTTTTTTAAACGAGATATATTAGATTTTCTCTCGCGCTGTATGAAACTGAGCGCTATTTAAGCATTTATATTGATTTGATGATTAATTATATATTTATATATTAACAAGTTGTGTCATTGGTACAATCTACTTTAATTTCCACATGTATGCAATAAAAGATTGTATTTACACTAAAGAATACCATCCTAATGCTTTATAATTCTTTTTTGCTGATGTCTATTGTCAACTTCATTCCTTCGAGACAACTTTAAAAGAGAGCAGTATTAATTCAATTTCTTGAACTAGTTTCAAAAGTACTTAGGGCATACCAAAAGTAAGAATGCTGACACTTTAACACCGTATAATAAGCTTTAAAACATTTCTCTCTATGTAGTCTGATAGAGGAAAAAATTCTCTGTTGTTCTATGCTATTTGATCATACTTCAACTAATATCATAATGGTAAAATAAGATAGAGAGCTGTGGTTTTCACCGTTCGAAAGAGGAAATAAAGATGCATTGAATTTTATTATTGATTTCTCGATATGGTTTTTTTAAAGTTTTTCAATCGACTTCTTTGAAAACAAACCTACTCCATAAGGTGTTTACAGCGATTTTCAATTGTCAGATGTGCATTCAAACCACTGATGGAAGACCTGCAATACTGAAGAAGTTTCAGATATCTTGAATTAATCATTCAGGAGTTATAGATGTTCTAGTCGAAGCTCTAAGTAATGTTTCTAGTAATTTCTGTGCAGAAATAAAAAACCATTTTATTGCATACTTAGAAAATTGATTGAAGAAATTTCAGATAACGTCTAGGAAAATATATAATATGTTAGTTCGGTGCGCCTTAATCTTCGCTTTCCAACGGTGAAAACCGCAGCTCTCTATCTCGTTCCTATCAAAAGTTAATCAATTTACAGTCAGGTGCATTCTATTTTGAAACGGATAGTAGTTGAAGTATGCTCAAATAGCATAGAAAAATAGAGAATTTTTTTCTCTACTAGACTATATAGAGAGAAATTTCTTAAAGCTTAATATACGGTATTAAAGTGTCAACACTCTTACTTTTGGTATGACCTAAGTATCATCAAAATTCGCTGTAGAATTGTAAACCAAGATTTACTTAGGGTATACCAAAAGTTCTGATCACAGTTTTTAAAATTTAATAAAGCAATAAATATTGAATATTTTACTAAGGCAATATATAGTATAACGTCTCGTCTTTAATAATATATAGAGCAACTCTCTCTTAGACTTAGTTCTAACNTTATTTTTTTAGAAGATCAGATCACATCATTCTACGCACTGATAATTAATCAGTGATTAATTAATTATTTATTTTAATTTAGTAATCATTTTCGTAAAAGTTTTAATAGAAATCATACACAAAGAGTAGCGACACCTCTGATCGATCGAAAATTAGGTCATAGGAAGTGAACCAAACTTTTGTGAACCAAAGTGCGCTACTATCGACGCGATTTGAAACTCGATGTGTTGACAGTAGCGCAGTTTGGTTCACAAAAGTTTGGATCACTTCCTATGACCCGAAAATTATGCATGACTATTTTTTACACATTATGGAGGCGTATTTCATTCTCTCATTGGCTTACTTACTCTCTTAGTGTGTACGGGTCTATTTTTAAAGCGAAATTAAAACTGTTTTATTTTTGTAGTCTGTCTCAGGCCTATGTCTTGAGCAACAAACATGAATGATTTGTTGGTTCAATTGGATGATTTACCTGATGAAATTCTTATGTATATATTTAAGAAATTGTACAATGATGAAGTGCTTTATTCTTTAATGGATGTTAATCAACGACTCAATAGAATTCTACATGATAGAATCTTTACTCGTCATTTATGTTTACTAAAATATTGTCGAATCGACAATTCTACCATTCCATTACCAGATTCAATACTTAATCGATTTTGTTCAAAAATTTTACCTAAAATTGGACATCAAATTGAAACTCTTTATCTTGAACGAACATCGATAGAACGTGTTCTTCATGCTACAAATTATATTAATTTAAATAAACTTGGTTTATGTGATATTCACTACAAAGAAGCTATGTCTCTATTTACTGGTAAGAGATCAATCTTTTATTGATTTCACTCTAGAATTAATTAGTTACTGGAACAACAACTTATTTAGTTAATAGAATTAGATATTTATAATTAAACATCAAATAATAGAAATTCATTTTTTATTTCTCTTTTATTTATTGGAAAACCATATTTATAGGAATTTCATTACGAGAAAAAGAATTTAATCGTTGATTTGTATAAGAAAAAAAAAAGGTATTGATAATATATTCAATTGAAATTTGTTAAGATTAATAGAGGAAATACAGAAAGTCTAAAAGATAAACAAATCAATGAATGAGATAGAACACAATATTGGTCACATACAATGTAATCTATGAGAAAATTTAAAAAAAAGAAAACATTACATATATAATTGAGAATGTTGTGAAAAATAGAAAATCTTAGATATTTTAATTGAATGAATAAAAACAGATTTGAAAAATATTTTCATTTATTTTAAAACTTTATGTAGAGAAGAATCCTTTAACTCATATATTCAAAAATCAAATTACATCACTCTTTACCAATTTTAATAAAGGAAACGTATCGTCTCCATTGGCAGGTGTCTCTCCAATTATATTTAGAAAAATTTTGACAATATTTACTAATTTACAATGCTTAAAATTCAATCCATCGGCATCTTATCTTGACGCTTCAGTTTTACATATGGCGAATGAAACTGGCATCTGTTCAACTTTATTAGAATTACATATCACTGTGGCAAATATGGAAGACTGTCTTTATATACTTGATGGACGTTTTGATCAACTTCGTATACTTTATGTTACTTTTTACGGTATCATTCCTGGCTTTTTCAACATTGAACATAAGGTAGATTATTTTTATTAATATTTTGTTTAAATGAATTCATATTTGCTTCCATTGTTCAGGAAAAGCTATTACCAAACTTACGGATTTTTTCTTTGTACTGCAAGCACCATATAGATGATTTTGATGAATCAATTGTAGCACTTCTACGTCGAATGTTAAATTTAGAAGAACTTGATTTAAATATTGAAGTTCAATGTTATGAAAAATTTATTGATGGTGATACATTGAAGAAAGATATTATTATTTATATGCCACAATTATATAAATTCACATTTAATATTTGCTCAATAATTAATCATCGTGATCAAACTATTTTTCCATTAAATGAAGATATTCAAAAAACTTTTAAATATTTTTCTAATAATCAAATAATTACTTGTATTGATCATTTCCAAGAAGAAGCATGTAGTCAATGTCATATTTATTCATATCCATATAAATTGAAAGTTTATAATTATATAACAAATAATTTTCCAGGTGGATTATTTACTAGTGTTACTCAAGTATCATTATATGATGAACGTCCATTTGAACATGAATTTTTTCTTCGAATTCAAAAATAATTTCCATATTTGAAAGAATTAACAATAAATAATCGAAAAGCACAAAATAACAAACAATTAATAAAATTAAACAACGATAATCAAATATTGTCAATTATTGAATATCCATATCTTACTCGACTTGATATTATTAAGACTCATGATGATTATGTTGAATTATTTTTATTTGATACGAAAATCTCTTTGCCAAATAATCTTCATCTGTGTGTCGATTATCAATCATTGAAAAGAGTGACATACGATTTTACAAGATATATAACACGAAATCATTCTTCAAAACTTGCTGCTCTTTATTTGTCTACATTGGATCAAATCGATGAACATATTAAAAACTATTTTCCTCATACATATATCCGTTGTTTTGCTGATTTTGTATTATCTAAATAAAATATATGAAAAATAGATCTATTTTATATGAAATGAAATGATTGAAAGAGACAAAAGAGAATGAATAAAGATAACAATTTCAAAGAGAAATCAAATAACGGATAGAGTTCCATCCAAAATTGATTGTACAACTGAGAAATAAGCTTCTATATTTACAACAGATCTTGAATATTGCTTAACTATGTGAATTTTAAATGTTCCATCATTATATAGCTTATCTATGATATTGATTTTACACATCAATTCTTTCTATGTGTCAATGAAAGGTGTTCACAGAAGAGAAAAGAATGATATCTTCGACGATTTTCTTTCTAATGTTCTACATGAAAAATGCTTAATTTTTATTGTCAATTCCTATTTATTCTTCTCACTAGTCAAAATAAATAACATTTATTGGTAAAAAATATACGCAAGCCTAAAAAAATATTATTAAATGAATTCCTTCAGTCATCTTGTGTTCAAAAGATGGTCTATTCAACTTTGATAGAAGATGATCGATCTTAGTTGAAAAAAATTCAATAGTCATTTGTTCAAATGATTGACATTAGCTCCTTCTATAATAAAAATATTAGATTTAGTTCATAGGTAAAAATAAGATAAAGATAATGATTTTTTTCTTTTATGACATTTTAATAGAAATCAGAAGAAAATTCTATTTTATATGTTAAATATATTTACGATAATATCAATTCTGAATAGTTCACATATGCCAAGTAATTATTGACGAAAAAAAGAGAGAAAACTAAGATCTTCTTCTTCGGTAGAAAACAATAAAGATCATATTGATTTTAATTAAAATAAAAATCAAATTCATAATATGTTACATATAATTAACTACTGGATGGAAAATGATTTATATAATGTGCAAGTGTCAATAGACTTTTAAATATAGAAATATCTTTTAAAATCGCGATATTGTATCATCTAAAGGATATCTCGCATGATATTATCACAAATAAATTGGATGTAAGAAATTTCGAACATGTCTATCATTAATTAAATCATCTGTTACATACAAGTAAATATGTATTTCGTATGTATAATAAAACTACTGGATCAATATAACGATGATAAATTATTGACAAATATATAAAAACGACTATTATTCAACATTTATTATTTGAACATTAGCAATAAAAACAATTTGTACATAAGTTTATGATATACGAGTATTTAATAAAAAATAAAATTCTTCTTGAAGAATATTTCGAGGAGATTTATTTGATGAATTATCTAATAAATAAACGAGAAAATGATTGAAAAAATTCTTGATTAATCCTATTTTTTTGTCTATTGATTTTAATATTAGAAATGAGATCTAGATATTTCTACGAAACATTTCTTTGAATTTGAATCAATATAATGAAAATAAAACAATAAGCAGATGCAATATTATCTTCTTTTCGTCTTCTTTTATTATATAAATGGAATAAGACAGACGAACAAGGAACAAAAAGAGAGACAGAAACACAAGAAAAAACCAATCACGATCATTTTTTTAATTTATTTAAGATGCTTAAAGCTCGCGTCAACATATGTAATGTTGAAGTTAGTACATATAAGCCTGAAGCATCAATTACTAGATTAGCGTTTGACAAAAATTGAAAATATTCCGTTAAATCAACTAAATCTTCACTGTGAACAGCACTACTTGATAAAACAATCTTTTCTCATGTCTTAAAAACCGGGCCAAAACCGGCGGTTTACCGCGATTTTACCGGTCCGGTTACCGGCTCCCATTACATAGAATTTACCGCGATAAACCGGCGGTTTTAACGAATACCGCGGTTTACCACTAATATGATTCAGTTAACCGGATCACCGATGATCTTTCAAAATTTATTGTTCCAGATCATCGATTGGACCATTTTAAGCATCTTTTTTAAACTGGTCGATATGATAGAAATTTTCAAAAACAATACCGGCGGTTTACCGCGGTTTTACCAATCAAGTTACCGGCTCCCATACAAAGGCTAATGCGGTAAACCACGGTTTACCGCTAAAATTGATCCGGTATTCACAACATGGGTTGATATTGTTGAATAGCTGTTTGAAATGATGTTTTTGTTAATAATTTATCAATTATTGGATCTATAATTGATACATGTGTTGTATATCCATATAATAATAGTGGCCATTGTTCAGGTGTCATATAAAAACCTTTAACATATAAAAATATTTATTAAATGTAACTTGAACAAAAGAAAAGTATATTTACCACGTTGCATAGCCATTTCAATAATTTTTGAATCATATACACGGCGAAGACTTTCATAATTTTGAAATGCTGCTTTAAGTTGCATTGATGAAGATTCTCCAACTTGTTCTATCTAATATAAAAATAAAACCACCTTCAGATAGAATCATTTCTTTTTTTTTAATTTTACATATTTACTTCAAAGCAAGGAACATCAAAAAGTAAAAGTACAATATATTCAACACTTGGTTGAATGTTTTTTTGATCTTGAGGGTGGGTGTGGGTGTGGGTGTGTGAGTGTGGGTGCGGGTGCGGGTGTGTGTCCAGCTCTTGTGCTCAGTGACACCCACACCCACCCACACCCACACCCACACCCACACCCACTCACACCCACACCCGCACCCACACCCATACCCACACCCACACCACATGCCAAAAGAATGTAGCTTTTCATTGTTTTACTGCTAAAATATGAAATTACTTCTGCTACTTAATGAATTAATTATTGTACATTAAATAATTTAAAATTACTCAAATAAAGTTTTTTTTATTGCTCAAAAATTATTGCTAAACCGTATTTTAATTATTGCCTATTCCAGTAATTTTATTGCTCAAATAAATACTAGCCAAAAAGAATCCGAGTATTTTAGAAAACTCAATTTTTCCCTATGCAGACTGAGCTTTTGGAAAGGTTCGTAAGAGACTTTATTGTTCAGCTTTTCAAGTTCTTTTGAATGAGACGTTGCTCGAAAAAAAAATGAATGAAAAGGAACAAAGTTACAGACGAAATACCCAAAAAAATATTTTTTGAAGATTTTTCAGGCCTCTCTTATCTTTCCAAACCCATAGCTTCGTCAAATAAGATTCCGAAAGTCTAAAATTTTTTGTATCCTCAGTTTTCTTCAAGAAATCGAATGGCATTAAAAGAAATACGTTTCTTTTCTAACCATGTTCCAACGATTCTCGATGAGCTGGCGAAACCTCTCTTAAAGGTAAAAACACATTTCATCTCAGATAAATCGTTTTCGATAGTCTTCGACAATTTTGATCTCTCTTGATTTTTATCTGATGATTGAAATCAATTTTCTAGATTCTTATTACTCGACATTCACTTTGTTGTTCACAATTATATTCAAACATCTTTCAGATAATGAAGTACCGAAAAATTCGAATGAATGGTACCAATAAAAGATCTTGTTTCATTCATTTGATGTTAGTTCTTATTCGTATAATGATTACACGTTTACATGACAATTCCAAATTGATATAAAAAAAAAGCAATGGTGTGCTGGTCTCAAAAATAAAATTTCTTTAAAATTTGATCAAAAGTGTGAATAAATAAATGCGGAAACTTCGGATTTAAATCTGAGAGTTATGTGTACTTCAAAAAGTGAATCATAAAAATCAATCATCCTAGACTGTCTGAATATCAAAATTATACTGTGAAATCTACCATTTAAAATGTTGATTTATATTGTGCGTTGCCAAGCCAATAGGACATGGGACCGAATACAGCTCAAGTTTGAACTCTGCACCTTGATTTACCCT